TGCGGGGGCGGGGGGGGGGGTGGGGGGCCCGGGCCCCACCCCCCCGCCCCGGGACGGCGGCCGCATCCCTGCCGCGCTCCCCGGTGCCGTCCCTGACCGTTCGCTGCCAGCAGACGTGGAAGCTCCGGCTTGAGCCATGGGGAGAGGGGCTGCGTGCGTGCCAATGTGTCCCCGCTCCCTGCCCAAGCCCCGTGTGCCCCATGGCCGAGCCCTCGCGATGCAGCCCTGGCCATCGTCCCCGCCTCGGGGCACGGGGACGTGGCGTGGCACTGCCACAGGGCTGCCACGGCCGGGGGGCCTGGCACTGCTGGGACAGCCAGGGAGCAGGGGAAGGGGCTGCGTGGAGCTGGCCCAGGCTCGGAGCGGGGCTGGCAGCGCTGAGCCGCCCGCCACATGCCGGGATGCCGAGTGCGGCCACACCAGGATACGCTGGAGAGCCCCAGGGAGGGCCCAGCCCTGCGGGCACCTGCGCCCCAACCGATCCCTCACTGTTTTCATGGGACCTGATTCATCCCGGAAGGGATTAGGGACCGGGGAACCGGGTGACGTTCTGGTCCGACCAGCCCAGCCGCCCCGGGATGGACCTCGGCGTCAGAGCCAGTCCCTGCTGCTCGCTGCCACGTACGGCCCTGGGGACATGGCGGAGGCCGGGGCTGGGCGCGGGGCCGGGGGCCAGGGGCGGCACTGGCCTTTGGGACACTACTGGGGGCCATGGCCATCGCTGCAGCCATGGTTGGTGGCACTGGGGGGCCCGGGCCAGCGGGCAGCTGCTCTCGAGGGGTGCGTAAGGTGCACTGCACAGGGCTGCGGTCCCTCTGGTGGGGTCAGCTGTGGGCCCTACGTCCCCCCATGGTGCTGGGATGGGGCCCCGGCCCCTCCGGAGGGATCCCTGGGACCCTGGTGCTGGGCCCAGGCGGGCAGCTGGACTCCTGGCAGCCATAGCCCATGGCACCGTCCAGCCGGAGGGGCTCACCCTGGCTCGGGGACGGTCCCGCCGCCGGCAGGTTTGGGAGTGCGGACAGCTTCTCCCCTGCGGCCGGGGCTTTTCGGAGGGGATTGCACAGTTCTGCTCTCGCTCTGACTGTCCTGACCTTCCCGTCACACTGCGGCCCTGGGGGCTGTCACTGCGCCCCGGCCGCCCTGACCCCCACTGAGGCTCGGGTGTCCCCACGCAGGGTCCCCAGAGCCCTTCCCAAAGCAGGAACAGCCGCCGCTCCCCGGCGCAAGCGGGCTGAGCCCCATCCCCCGGTGCAGCCCCCCTGCCCCGGGACCCACTCATTGAGTCCCCCTGCTCCTCCATTGCCCTGGGCTGGGCACAGCTGAAGCCCCTTGGGACCCTGGCCCAGCCAGGTCCCTGCGTGTCCCCACATGCTGGCCACGTGCCCCCCATGGGGAGCCCTGGCCGGTGCCCCCGGCTCCCGTGCGCCCCCAGGGCGGGGGGCCGGCAGCGGTGTGGCGTGGGACCCTGCCTTTCTCTGCTCCCACGACAGGCACGAGTGGGGAACCACGGGGGAACCGGCTTCCCCTCTGAGTCATGCGTTGGGCAAGGCCGGGCTTTCGGTGGCCGGAGCGCGGCGGTGGCCCCTGCGTGTGTGCAGGAGGCTGATGTCACCCCAGGCTCTCTATCCCCAGTATAAGTCCTGGCCGGGCTGGTGCACGGGGACGGGGTCTCCGCAGCTGTCGGGCGTCCCACAGCCATGTCCTCTGCTCCAGCCTCCAGGTCCCGGCACCATCCCCAGGGCACACCGGGGCCGGCGTGGCTCTGTCTCCTGCTCCTGCTGACTGCCTGCCTGCCCGCGGCCGGCACCAACCCAGGCATCAAGGCCCGGCTGACCCGGAGGGCGCTGGAATTCGGTGAGTCTCGCGCCCCTGGCCACCCGTGGGGGACCTGGGCAGGGGGTGGAGGGGCACCATGCCCAGACCACCTGGGATGGGGGGTGGAGGGGTGTCCTGGACCCGGCTGCTCACCCCACTGGCACCCCAGCCCCTTCCCCGGCACCCTCCCCCAAATCCCTGCTCTGCCCCAGGCCGGCAGCTTGGGCTGGAGCTGCTGCAGTCGCGGCTGCAGAAGGAACATGAGCTGAACCTGAACGGCTCCTACCACAGCCCACTTCTGGGGACACTCACCTACGCCGTGCCCCGGTAAGAGCCACCCTCAGGGTCCCCGTCCCTGTCCCCATCCCTGTCCCCATCCTGGGGACAGCCGCGAGCCCAGGCTGCCCATGTCGCGCAGGATCCACATCCACGAGCTGCAGATAAACGACTCTGCCGTGGACTTCGCCGAGGACGTGGGGGTGAGGCTGACGGTGCAGCGCGCCCGCATCCGGCTCGGTGCCGAGTGGGAAGCCCAGCTGGGCGCCTTGTGAGTCCTCACCTGCACGGGGACAGGGATGGGGACCTGGGCGGCTCAGGGCAGCTCGGGGCCACCGCTGTCCCCATGCTTACACACTCTGTCCCCAGCAAGGACAGGGGCTCCATCGAGCTCCGCATGAACGACCTGGCCGTGGTGGCGGTGCTGGGGGTGAGCGTGGATGGCAGTGGCCGCCCCGTGGTGTGGAGCGCCGGCTGCGACGCCCGCGGCACCGACCTGCACATGGAGTTTCACCGCGGACACAGGTGATGCCAGGGCCCCTGTTCCCCTCCCGTCCCCAGCACACGGGGACTCCCCGGTGCCCCCGGCTGGGGCGTTGGGCTGGGGGAGGCTGGGGCACCCCGGGGTGATCTGAGGACCCCGCTCTGCCCCACAGCTGGCTCTACAACCTGCTGGCACCGCTGGCCCAGAGAGTCCTGCGGCAGGAGCTGAACAAGCAGGTGGGTGCCCAGCCCCTGCGCCGTGGGGAGCTGGGGTCCCTGTCCCCCCAAGCGAGCAGCCTGGGGACCCCGTCCGTGGGCTCCCTGACGCCTTTCTCTGCTTCCAGCTCTGCCTTGAGCTCCGCAGGGGCGTCTACAGGCTGGAGGCTGCCCTGAAGCACACGGGAGGTGGGTGAGGGGACCCCGGGGACCGGGCAGGGCGGCCCAGGTGATGCTGGGGGGGGGCTGGTGCCCAGTGGGGTCTGTGGGACTGGGGGCTGCAGGAGGGGGCGGCTGGGCCGGCTCCCCCCAACCGCCCCCGTGTCCCCGCAGTCTCCACCCAGCTGGACTCCTTCGCCGCCATCGACCACTCCCTGCTGGGGCCACCGGCCATCACGGCGGAGCACGGGGACGTCGCCCTCAAGGTAACGTCATCCGGGGTGTCCCTGGGCTGGCTCCAGGAACGGGGGGTGGGGGGAGCTGGGCTGAGCCTTGCATCCATCTGTCCGTCTGTCTGCGCAGGGGGAGTTCTTCAGGGTGGGCAAGTGCCAGCAGAGACCCTGTCCGGCGCTGCCCGTGGCGCTGCCCGTGGCATTGCCTGCAGCTCTGCCCACGGCACTGCCCGCGGCACACGAGCCCATGCTGCTGCTGGCCGTCACCGAGTTCGTTGCCAACTCGGCCGCCTTCGCGTACTTCACGGCCGGGGCCCTGCGCAGGAACATCTCCAGCAACATGGTAGGGACGGCTCCGGCCGTGGCTGCGGGGCAGGGCTGCCACCTCGGGGTCCCACCGGCGTGTCCCCGCGCCCGCCCGTGCCTTGTGGCACCGGCGTCCTGACTCCTCTGCCGCCTTCCAGCTCCCGCAGCGGTTCCCGCTCCAGCTGAGGACCAAGAGCCTGGGGGTCTTCTCCCCTCAGGTGGGCGCAGGGCAGGGAGCGGTCCCCAGCACTGGGCAGGGTGGGATGGGACAGGGGAGAATGGGACACAGGTGGGATAGACCATGGGATGGGACAGGGTGCGGGCGGAATGGGAGATGGGCTGGGATGCAGGAGGGGTGGGATGCAGGAGGGACAAGATGCGAGATGGGATGCAGGAGGGGTAGGATGCAGGAGGGATGGGATGCAGGAGGGACGGGGTGTGGGTAGGATGGGATGCAGGAGGGACAATATGTGAGATGGGATGCAGGAGGGATGGGACATGGGATGAGGGATGGGATGCAGGAGGGATGGGATGCAGGTGGGATGGGATGCAGGTGGGATGGGACATGGGATGGGATGCAGGAGGGATGGGATATGGGATGGGATGCAGGTGGGATGGGATGCAGGAGGGACAGAACAGGGGATGGGACACAGGAGGGGCAGGACACGGGATGGCATGCAGGCAGGACAGGACACAGGAGGGATGGGATACGGGATGGGACGCAGGCAGGATGGGCAGGGTGAGATGCAGGATGGGATGCAGTCAGGATGGGACACGGGCAGGACAGGACAGGACACGTTGCCCACCCTGCCTGCACTGAGCCCAGGGCAGGGCGGTGATGGGGCACACGGGCCGCGGGCGGTGGTGGGGGCCGGCTGGGAGCCTGGGCTGGTGCCCGCAGTGCCGGCGGTGCCCACGTAGCTCCGTGCCAGCCCGGCCCTCATCCCCTGCAGCTGCAGGAGCGCTACCCAGACCAGCCCATGGAGCTGCACCTCTCGGCCCGCCGGCAGCCCTTGCTCTCCTGCCACCCCGACGCCCTGCACGGGGCCCTCTTCAGCTCCGCCGAGGCCTTCGTGGTGCTGCCCAATGCCACCCGCGTCCCCGCTTTTCCCGCTTTTCTGCTGAACATGATGAGTGGCTGGTGCTGCCATGGCACAGGGTCCCCTGCCTGTGCTCCAGGCTGGAGTGATGCTGGGGCCATGCTGGGCAATGCTGGGTGATGCAGGGTGATGCTGGGCGATGCAGGGTGATGCTGGGCGATGCAGGGTGATGCTGGGGCAATGCTGGGGTGACGCTGGGCGATGCTGGGGCAATGCTGGGGTGATGCAGGGTTGCAGGCACTGCCCTCGTCTTTCTGACATCTCTTCTTGCTGCAGGACGCCAACGTGACGGGGAAGCCGACCATCACGGGGAACAGGCTCGGGGGCACCGTGAGCCTGACGGGGTGAGTCCCCAGCCTCGTGCTGGGTCCGGCCTCCCCATGGAGGTCCCCGGGGAGCTCCCCCCATTCGCACCTCTGGCCTTTTGCCTTCCCGGGTCCCCTATCGCCTGCTCGGACCCCATCCTGCCCCCGGCTCCTGGCCATGCCTGCTGCTCTGGCACTCGTACCCCGGCTAGGTCCTCAGCTGGACCCAGGCTCCCAGCCCTGCCGTGGGGCTCAGCCTGTCCCTGCCCTGGGAGGGGACAGTCCCCGTCCCCGTCCCCGTGCCTGGCTCTCACCCTGCTCTCGCCCTCCAGGCTCAGCGTGGCGCAGGTGACGTCGCATGTGGGCCCGGTGGAGGTAAGCGGCCATGCCGGGGCACATCGGGGCAGCCAAGGGGAGCCTCGGGCTCCGCACCCGCCTGGGAGCAGGGCTGGGGGCCTGGGGGGGTTCGGGGGTGCTGTGGGCCCTGGGCAAGGCCCGCGCTGCCGGGCGCTTGCACAGGCAGCGGGTGCAGCCCTGGCAGGGGAGCTGAGCCCTGCCTGCGCCGCGGCCCGCTCTGCCTGCCCCGGGCTCAGGGCGCTGCCTGTCCTGCAGGTGAAGAGGCTGGAGACCCTGCTGAAGTTTGGGCTGTGGCTTTTCGGGGTGCCCTGGGCAAACAGTGAGTGCTGTCCCCATCCTGTCCCTGTCCCCCCCCGGCTGCCCCAGGGTCCCCCCTCACGTCTCTGCTCTCCCCGCAGAGCGGCTCCGGGCC